TCTTTCAAATAGATGCAAGTAAAACACAGCAGAAAATAAATAAAGTCAAAGACTCAGCGGTCCTGTTGCTCTACTTTCACCTGTAAAGTGGGAGTGGGGCAGGTGGAGGTTTACCCTGGTGCAGGTGTGTCACAGCGGTCAGTGGAAGAATCCGCGAGTTTCTCTGTGAGTTTCACACTGCAGCAGCAGCAGCAGCGTATTTGGTGCTTGATCAGACGTTTAGGGTTTTTTTTCGCTAACAGTAATCTAATTACCTTTTTTGCAATAGTAACCCCTTACTTTACTCATTACTCGAAAAAAGTAATCGGATTACACTGCCCATCTCTGGTTATGTGAAAATGATGTTTTGTGGACAGCTGCAGAGAGTCTGTCTTTGAGTCACTTTGGGGATCCACCGTCCAAAAGTACAAACCTTTATAAAGTTGTTAGCATTACGTATTAGTCTGATAAAGCTCAGCAAATATTATCACTTAATACAGTTTTTACTGTTTCAATTAGTAAAGGAATTACAAGTAAATCAATTAAATACCCGTATCTGTTGCTGATGACAGCTATACTGCATAACTACTTACTGAATTTTATGGTAGATACTTTTCTCCCCTCTGCGGTCATTTCAGTTAAATTAGGCTTTTTTCCCTCCTGCCCCGTTCAGCAGCAGTCTGAAGGTCCAGAAAGATGCCCGACGGGTTTATTTTTCCAAGTGGATCATTACGGCTTTGCCATACTGGTCCACTTGATTGATCTTTATTTTATTTTTTTAACTTTTAAGTTATTACAATGGGAACATACATGACCGGGGGATAGGAAAGGGAAAGACAGTAAACATCAGCTGGATCACCTGCTGGAAGAAAAGAAGAAACAAGTAAAAAGAGAACAACACAGTAGCAGACCACAGCAGCAGCCTGGATAAGTGTCAGTAACAGGAAATAATAAATACTGAAACTTAATGAGCAGCACGCAGGACTGACAACGATCAATATGTTTAAAGGCAGCAGCCAAGGTGTCCGTGCACACCTGTGTGCGTGAGCATGCTTGTATTCAAAGGGTTTCTCCGTGTAACGATCTATTAGTGGACACAAACGGAGGTGAGCTTGAATACACACACCGTCCTCTGGACGCCATGTAGCGTGCCCACCCCCAAGGCCCTTAAATGAGGCTTCTGAGTAAGACACATGAGTTAATTTTGGACAGTAGTAAAGCACAGCTGTGCTTTCAGCGTCTCTACAACAGCTGCTGCTGTGGAGCTCAGTGTTGTAATTTCAATGTAATAAGAAGGATGTCCTCCCTGCAGGAATGTAGAAGAAGCAGAAGAACCAGTGGAGCGAGGGGGCGGTGATGATCACAGCAAGGCCAGAGGGACGATCAGTCCAGGTAAGGATAATGAAATCTAGGCCAACTCTGCTGTGTCTCTGTCTTTGTCTTAATCATGTCTGTCCTTCACAGGCTCCCCACACTACAGCGAGGATTTTGAAGATGACGAGGACGTGAAGGTTCCACTGGAGGAGGTTTGTGCTCAAATCTGTACCTGTTAAAGTCAAAAATATTAGAAACTTCATCAGAAAGTTCATTTTCCAATGAAAAGCACACAGAATACAGTTGAATAGTATATACAATAGTATATACAGTATAACACTGTAAATCAGTGTCGCTGAACACACTTTGTTGATGTATCTGCAAAGTTAAAAACGCTGTAAAAAGAAAAAATTAGCTAAACAAACTGGATCTGAGTTCAACTGGACGTTTGTCCAGGGAGGGACCGTATGACTGTTTAACAGCGACCTCAGGATAACCAGTGGATATAATAACAGCTGTGTATAATTCATGTCAGTAATATATCACTTACTGTTCCAAATGATATCATGTGACTGTGGCACTGTCACACTCTTGTCCTTTTTCAGACGTCAACGACGGCTTCAGTTCTTGCCAGAGGTAAGACACAGATGACACTGTGCTGAGGCCAGCACACTGAGATGTGTTACTGTCGTCACCGGCAGTGTTCCTAAAGCGATGACCTTTAGTTCCCATTAAGCCTGTGAGGTCTAAATGGTTCTTCTTCTTCTTCCAAGTCTCGTCATAATGATTCAATCTGAAGTACAGATAGTTTAAAAAATACTCCAGTAAAGGCTGATGTACTGAATCAACTTCTTTACTCAAGTAAAGTAAAAAACTACAGGCTCTGAAATGTACTCAGAGTAAGACAGTACAAAGTAACTGACTCTTGTGCTCTATTAATATGATAATAAAATAAA